AAGCGCCGGTTTATGAAATAAATTATCGTCAGCAGTCCCTGACTGCCCAACCTTATTCTCTGTCTATCGCTTCCTTGACTTAGCCTAGTTTTGACAGTTCATTTAAATAATCCATCACCAATTGCACAACTTGAGTTAACTTCTCAAGAAATTAAATCAAATTCCATGGGGAAAAATCCTGGTAGATGAAATCTAAAAATTATTCATTAAAATGGCAAATGAAAGTTTACAATCTTGGTTTTACTTTTTGATTTGTTTTTTTACGACTGATTTTCACCTCTGACATTTACATGTGGTCCCCTGGTATTATCCAGTTTAAGCTTGCTTTCACATGTATGTTTCGATGTAAGCTAAAAACAACACACAAGGGAATGTTTAGTACCGGTACTATAATAAATCAAAAAATAATCTAATTCCATGATTTGTGTAGGTGACATATCAACATAACTGCTTTAAATGACGACTAATTTGTCAGTCTATCAATTGAAATCACTGATGTATAACAACTTGTCACAGCAACCAATCTCAGCAACAGTTTTAATCATACAGAATTCATCATAAAACTAATAGAAGGAAGTTACAGCATAACATATTAATCTAAGAGCTTTCCTTTCTAGTACTTCAAGAACAAATCATAATGTGCAGTATAATACTTGTGTATTACACTTATAATAGTGTACCGTAATAATAATAGTGTAATAATACAGTTCATGATTCACTCGTCTGGAAATTAAGGCACATTTTTTTTTGAGGAATCATGTACATGTATGTCCATTCTCAATTATGCACTGGTAATCAAAGTAATTTCAGCCAATTTTGGTTATTTCTGTATTTGTTTTGAACACTTTGAATACAGAGTAAAACCACCAAATTGTCATTTACATATTGAAAATTCTTCTTCAGGACTCTAGCAGTTATTACCTTTGAGTGATTATGCTATAACATGTGTACTCAGGTGTGAATTTAGGCTTCTTAACTTTTCAGTGATAGTTGTGCAATGTTTCGTCTTGATAAACTTCAGCCAATAAGTCGACCCACTATAGAAAACTTGTTCTACATGTACGTACTAGCTTTAACATGCCTTTTCAGTCAGAAAACCTATTTTTATATAGTGACCCAAAAGCTTAAAATTTAATTCTGTTAGAGGTACATGTATAGCAGTTAATTATGGCCATCAAGGGCTTAACCTGAATTCCTATAGCATGTGTAATCAGCTGTGTAGCACTCTAACTTTAACATTGTTATTATAGCTTCTTATCAGTGCGTCCACCAATATACCAAATTCCCCTGATGGTATGAGGTTATTTTATATTGAGCCTTTACACATATAAGTAGAGGTGTAGAAAATTATCTTCATGTTGTTATATTGCACACTCTGATCTTTATTGCTTCAGTTAGAACACAACTACAGGTAGTCAAGAACAGATGAAGCTTTAACTTCTACAACTTTGATGGTCCTGGGCCCACTAGTATTCTGCTATGGATTGAAAATCCAAGCCAAGGTGAGTAATATTAAGGATTCTACCACATATCTGTATGTGTTTAGCTCAAAGATTTTTTTCATTGTAATAATGGCATATCTCTGAAACTGAACTTCTTTAAGCTTGTATGATAGTCTTTTTGCTAGAAAAATGTTGATGGCTGTAATGAAAACAATAATCAACCAATATCTATCAGACCTGTTATTTTTTTTGTCATGAGTGGAGCTGTTCATATACATGTTCATCTGTCTGTCAATAATTCTATTTTTGATTTTTTCTTGAAAACTACTGGTACAATTGTTTTGATATTTGATATGTACCTTGGGTGAGATTTCTTCATTTTGTAATAATATTTTCAATTCTCAATTTTACAGCAATTCCAGGCACTGATTTGACGCTGAAGTAGTGCTAGATATAGATAACATTCTACAATTTTTACATTTACATAAGTTGTAAGTAGAAATATAAACATCGGCTGCAAATCAGAGAAATGATTGACAGATATTGCTCACAATGTTTTCTATTTTTGATACAAAGTCAGATGCCCCCAGACTTTGTGGCACATCTGTCTTTCATTCACTTTCATTCAACAAAACTACTCGAAGACGGTGTTTGTACGGCAGTACCACTTTATGAGCCCCTCGCAAATTGAAGTAGGAAACTAAGTTGAGAGCCTCGGTCGTTTATTGGAGGAGAAATTCAAAACTAACATACTGCCACTTTTATGGGCGGAGCTTCCTTCTGGTGCTCTTCAAATTGCAGACATTCTGTCTGCATTATTTGGAACAACTTCTGTAATTGTGAAAACAAAGTGTGTAACCTATTGTAGTAACTACTTTGGCATCAAATCAGTGCCTGGAATTGCTGTATGTGAAAAATGGTCAGAAATGCTATTCTCAACATTGTCTTGAAAACTGCCGGCTCAACTGTATTGATACTTAGCATGTACTTACATGTATAGTTGAGATATGGCAAGAACAAGTTTTGGCTCTAGATTTTTAACGTTTTTAAGTTGCTATTTTATTGCTTCTAATTTTTATGTTTTGTAACCATTATGCAAATAAAATATTATGTACCGGTAGCTGATTTTATATTGTTAAAGGACCATTGTCACCATGCTACATATTTAGTTATTGTTGCACAGATCAACATAGGTCCCTCCTGGGATGGATGGAACACATTGAACGGCTCTAAATCAGTGCACACAATGATCAGATCAAAACTCAGCACATTAATTGAGTACGGGGAAAATAACTGTTTATCAACACAAATCTCAAAGTGTGCCATTATGCCTACCGCTCTTTAATAAAAAAAATATTAATAAAAAAAATATATATTTTTTTTTTTATAACTTAGTTTCACACAATGTATTTGGCTTTAGAGTCACTATTATATTAATTGGTCAGACAAGTGAGACTCAGCGGGAAAAGTGCAACTACAAGGATAGAGTACGAAAATTAAAAACTCACCTCTAATGTTTGTTTCAAAAACTGACACCTCAATATCACTGTCAAAAGTTAAATCATCAATTAACAGTTTTACAACACGCTGAAATTCCGTGTAATTGCCCATTATGGCAAGCGTATCCAAAGCATCAATCAGAGTTAGTGAGTAACTGAAAAAAATATAGTTTATGAATAAATTATAATGCTAATTATTATGCAAATTAGCCACTATCCTGGGGAGGACAATAGTATACGGTATTTATCAGTAGTCACCTTTTACAGATTGAATCAGTATACTGTAAAACCATTTATTGTTACTATTTTGATATTTAGAACAATTTCACTCGGTTTTAAGTTCACAAAGTTGCAGGGAAACAATGAGTTCTATTGTTATTTTACATGTTCACATTCACTCATCACTGAAAGAAGGCAAAATTAAAAACCAGCAAATACTTAATGCATTTACAGTAATAAGAATTTAATGCTATATATATTAACCCTTCAGTGCCATTGTCATATTTGGCACCAGCAACAAAATTATGGTGTACAGTCTGCTCCTTCCGCACATAAAATATTGATAAGAATAAACAAAACTTTCGATCAAAAACTAGTGAAAATTTAAACTGAATTTTGGGCTGGAAAATATGTGGCAGCCAAAGGGTTAATAAACTATGCATCAATCATATTGCTCAATATATGATTTAGTCATAGTTCCTGTTTGTATTCGGCTCAATCATATTCCTCAATATATGATTTAGTCATAGTTCCTGTTTGTATTCGGCTCAATTAACATTGGACAACACAAAATTATGTCTTGTCAACTTCTTTACTTCAATTTTTCTATATATTTACACACATATACTGGTTGCGTTATTATCCGATATTAAAATTTCTGAGTATGCAATAAAGATATTATTATTATATGAGCATTAAATTTTTCAATGTATTTTTTTAACATCAAAAAAATAAGCTAAAAAAAATTCTGATCATCCACAAGTGTTATGGCCGCAATGACAAATAATTACAATGCCATATGTCTATAATTAGCATAGATAACCATAAAGTAGTTCTAAAATTAGTCATGTTGTGTCATACCCTGGCAGTCTGAGTCAGTCATGTTCTAAAAGGTTTGTCTACAAATTTATGTTGACCACTGTAATTAGTTGGGATGTTCAAGCTGTCGTATGTAAGTTGTATTCATCTTCACTCTGACATTAAGTCCACTATTATTGAGTCATTCATATTTATGTTTCTATCAAGACCGTTCATGTCTTTATACTTTTGACCTTTTGTGTATTTGGGCTGACAAATTTAACATGATTTTGTAAGTTGTCAAATTTTCCCAATAAATTCTTTTGACAAGATAATACACCCCTTTCACTCTCTTTCTCTCTTTCACTTCCCATCCCCTCTCTCTCTTTCCCTCCCTATCCCCCTCTCTTTCTCTTTCTCACTCTTTCCCCCTCTCCCTCTTCTCTCCCCTTTCCTCCTGCCTCCCTCCCTCCTCCCTCTTACTCTCTTTCTCTCTCTCTTTCCCTTCCCATCCGTTCCCTCTCTCTCTCTCTTTCCTTTCCCATCCCCGTTCTTTCAGCAAAATCTTCTCTCATTCAAAGAAAATACTAGAGTGCAATCTCATATCTGCTTTATCCCTAAAAAATGATTGGTACACACAACCTTGATTCATTGTACTCGAAAATTTACCCCTTGAAATGCAATCTGGCAATAGTGAAAAGAAACATGTGACTTGTCATGAACAAATTTCTTTAGAATTCATAAAAAGCTTCAAAAATCAGTAGAATCATGCAGCAATTATTCATTGCATGCATGTCTTTATAACTATGCTAATATAGGGGTGTATTTTACAATACTGGGAAAGCATCATTTGTAGGGTATGTGAAGCCTGCATTGGCCATTCACCATAGCACATGCATGAAAATGAAAGTGCTCCATAACCCATATCAATGTACACTAGTGTCAAGATCATGTCTCATGAAAAAGAAAGAACTGAAGGCTTATTAGGGACGACGTCAAAAGATCGATGTCGGATAAAAAACTTAATTCCTTTAGTTTTTTTCCAACCCCCCCACCCCCACTGAAACTTAATTGATAAATATTGGTCATGGCGTCAGACTACATTCACCATTAAATACAAATTGATAATCGGATAGTAGTATTGCATAGCAGTTGGTTGTCGGGTGGGTGTAAAAAGATTTTACATTTGACGCACAGATTTACACTCGAACCAAACCATTTTTCTGTTTTT